TCACTGTGGCTCTAACACGGTCACATTATGTGGTTCAGTGGTGTAAATAATGCGATCGAAAAAAGGCATGGTTTCGCGTGCTGCTGTGGTAGCCACACTATAAAAAATTCAACCCCATTGTCTACTGCGTAAGGAATGTGCACCAAGAACTTTTTAGTTAAAAAGTTCTAGACAATTACTTGAGTGTAACACCGGCTTTTGTAGGATTGTTAGAAACCGTCCCAACTTAACAATACCAACCATAACCTTGAAAAATGAGGAATTAAAAATAGTTGTTCACAAATGTTGCATTACAGTATCTTTATTTTTGCGATGTATTGGCATGCTTGGTATGCAAGTTTCATCCATTACATCTGCAAATATTTAACCATGTATGCAAACATATTCGACTTTGCATCGATGCAAATGGACGCCTTATTATTGTATTTAAATGGAAATAAAAATAAAAGCTTGACGAAAACGAAAGAGCTGGTCATCCAGCCAGTCTTCTCGTATGAGAACAATTCGGTAAACGTCGTATTAGTGAGTTACTCTCAAGACTCATTACTACTTCGGGACAAAAAGGTCGTAACGAATAATCTCTTCGTCAAATCATGAGAATACTTACGAATGCCATTTTTCCATATCAAGATTATTCTAGCCAAATGTAGCACATGTGCGTTAGTACGAAGTGATATATTCCCCGGGATATAGTAACAACTATTAACTCGCCCCGGCTTCGCGTGGATGGGATTTATTAATGTGATGTTATTTTAATTTATGATAAGGATTATTTATTTTACCAATATATTTTTTTAAATTGTTCAAGATTTTAGGAAAAAATATATAACCTACATTCCTCACGGCATTGCTCTGCTTTATATATTCGTAAAGGTTTTTTCAAAACCGATTCGACCATTCCGAAGATTACCTCACAGACAGACAAATATTTTTAAAATTATTATCTATCTATGTTTAACTAGCATGCAAATTATCCCTAGATGCCAGTTATTTCAATATTGGGAACAGATATTTCATTTTTATTAAATCATAAATCTTTATTTGGCAAGAATCACCGTATAAAAAGATGTTACAATGTATCTAGTGCACTCGTGTTTCGCTAACAATGGTACATAGCATGCAAATACAGAATCAACGATATTAATTAATTACTATCTAAAAAATCTTTTAGGTACGCCATAAAAGCATTCGGTTTTTAACCAATTAAACAAATGTTTCATATATAATCTTTGGCTTAATAATTCTTTAGGTAGTTTATTAAATATTTTTATACACATATTTAGGCAATTTTTGTTGTATTTAACGAATTTAGGAATGACATCTAGAACTAGTTTGTCTAGGTCACGTCGGTTTCGGTGATATATACTTATCACGCGCTTTAATAAACAGTGACTTATTTTTAAACACAAACATGCCAACTTCATAAATGTGTAGTTTATATGTATAGATATAGATTACTACTACTTAGATATAGATATACACACATCGCGTACTACACATCGCGTTATGATTGTTTCGAACACACATTTGTGTTGTACATAATTAGGTCGATTGGAGTTATGTGGGATTTTACTTTACGCCATGTTTTGCTCAATGGCACGCAAATAATGTGAAAACATTTTGCTGTGAATCAGCAAGCAAGCAGCAAGCAGAGTTCGAACTTGTTCGATTTAACTTAAAAACGCTAAGCGAACTTGTACGTGCAGCGTGCTCGTACCTACCTAGGAAATTATAACATGACATTTTTGTGACAACAGATTAAGGTACGTGAGAGTAATATGGTCACCTTAAGTTTTGCCGTTATATAAAACCAAAACTTTGAAAAAGACCGAGAGATAAATACAAAATCGTATACTATAACTAATATATTAAGAAAAATAAAACAAGCTTTAGCAATAATTAGGAACACTTCGAAAAATCAACTTAAAAAAATTAACTACCCTAAACAATACTAAAATAGACCAAAATATTTACTATAATGTCAACTATCAAAATGGCGTCGATAAAAAAGCGTCTTTTTGACCCTTTATTATTTGATTTACTGATAAAGAGCTATCGTATCACAGAGGCATGTATGCAAAAAAGTTTAGTGTTTGTTGTCTGTAGTTTTTGAGTTATAGGAAAGTGACCATATTAACTGGATGATCGTACGTGGTAGAGCCATAGCTTAAAGCTGCTGTGTTTCGCCACCACCACGTATAAATGATTGATATAGAGGCATTTTGTTTATTGTTAAAAAATGATTATTCTAGGTACTCTTTTAATATAAAATGTGTACGTTACACGATTTGAGCCGCTTACATAATGAATACTTCATTATGTTAAGTTTCTAAATCAACTCATTCTACTCGAAAACTTAAAATTGAAAAATGTGATTTTAAATTTGCTCCAACTATGATATATTTAAATTAGTAACAATATAAACAATTGTCTTATGTCACGTGTAGGGTTGCCACCTTTTTTGAACAAGAATAGTATTTTTCCCAAAAATTACCAAAAAATAAAGTACTTCTAAGAAATTCAGGAGAGAAAAAAGTACACATTTATTTTTAATCTTTATGTATTCTTCCATATTGCTCTTTGATTTGACCTTCAATGATCTAATTAATACCTTTAAAATAATCATACGAGTCTGAGCAATTTAGAATCATATTAAAATAAATTATTTTATTCTTCTTTCAATTTTACATTCATGTCGGAAAGAATTATTTCCGTAAAACTTACTTGTTCCAGACTTCTAATCACAGTTAATATAAAAAAGTGCGACAATTGAATTGGAGATAAAAATATAGCATTTTTCATACTATATTATTTTTATAATATATAGTAAATTGACTGATATATAGTATATATATAATAGTACCTGCGGATGGCAACCCTAGTGACAGAGCATCGTTGTATTAGCTTCGGTCGGAGACGCTTCGTTATGTTACGGCGCTGTCATTGTTCGGCACACGTTTTTTCTATAAATCGTTGGTTTACGAGCGAAAACATAAACACTGTTTCGTTTCACCATGCCACAGAATAAAAATAATAGCACCATGCTAAATCTTATCTTATTCTTACCGTTACGAGCACGAGAAATTATTAGACGCTTGAATATTTTTTGTTATTCGAATATAAATGTATTGTTTCTCAAGGATATATTTTTTTAGTTTAGGTACCGTAGCTAGTAATAGCCAGATAGCTCGAAGAACCGACAACCGATTGGAAAAAAGATTGTCCAGTGGCAGCCCCGGTAGGCTTAGTGTAGGGCGATCCCCCACTAGATGGTCAGTCATCGAAATGCAAGAAGTCGATGCAGGTGGCTCAAACTCAGGACAGTGCTTTGTGGCATACCTTGAGGGAGGTCTATGTTCAACAGTGGATTTGTGAAGGGTAATAATGATGATCATGATGATAATAGTTTAGGTATATGTACATGTGTGTTACAAACATACTCGTAAAATGCCGAACTAAAATTATTGGTTTAAATAATCCTCCAGTGGCTTTTTGGGTATTGGGTATAATATAGATCTTACAAAGGATACAATTTTATACAAATTTGCTGTTGTATCTATCATCCCTTCACCATGTATTTACACTTTCTTGATAGTTTTAAATTCGTTATAACTAGGTTGTTCGCAATGTAAAGGTATTTTTATATTGAATCTTATGAACAATGTCGTGTGGGAAGTCGTCATATTGAGGTACGTTATATTAAGGTTGCACTGTATAACGTTAAAAGGGCTGTGGGGGATTTTGTAACAATAATCTATTCACATATATATATTCATTTTTCCATACAAGAAATGTGCTTTTAGCACGTGAACAATAATAAATAATAATTAAACTCTGAAAAACCCATCGAATTGATCTAAAAGAAACCACGTATATCGAATATTTGATAAATTACACCTATCAGCTTCAAACTCCAAAGTCAATATTTTTGGTGACTTAGAAAGGCAACAAAAAGATTTGGCGCCTTTTTATTGCTTGCCCAAGAAACTTATAAGTGCCTTTAAAGCTGCGTAATACACAGGTTGGCCCAAAAGTCGTGGATCAAACGCAACTAGGGGTTAGATGGGGTCATCAGCTGCAAAAAGTTGTTCTACGGGAGGTCCTTAAGGTCAACCCCTGCAGAGTTATAATTTATTTTGTGTTTTTATGAGAAAATTGACTTTTTTTTAACTAATTCTTAATAAAATTCCAAAAAATCTACATGCTGTATCTTTTTTATAATTTTGACTAGATTGGTACTGATGAGTCCTTGCGTTAGACATGCTATTTATGGCTGTTTATTGGGTGTGTTGAAGATAATATTAAGTTTCACGATTTTTTTTCTCAAATCATAACTTTTTATTTACTTCGGACCCCACTGTGAAAAAAATACTCTACCGTAAAGTGACCCTGTATTACAAGTTTTGGCGCATTTAATAGGGACTCTGGAAAAGTATTACACATGGCCATGAGTGGCTCTAATATCTTTCTAGTACGAAAAAACAAAACAACGATTGTGAAATAATTGTTTTATTAAGCAAAACATTTTACAATAAATGCTCACAATTCCTGCTTCTGACCATAATACATAACCTACACCATCTAATAAAATTCCTATGTAACCTACGGAATGCATCTCTGTTGTTAGTAACGGACATTCGAGACGAAATTCGAGCTTTTGTCGTAGTTCTTGTTCGCTATTGTTCTCTCCTTGGTAAACTATTTCTTTAAAATAGCCCCAAAGAAAAAAATCTAATGGATTTAAATCGGGCGACCGGGGTGGCCACGCAACATCTCCGCCTCGACCAATCCACCGGTTGGGGAAGCGCTCGTTCAATGATCTCTAACTGCTCGAGCGTAGTGAGGTGGGGCGCCATCATATTGCAGCCACATTACTGCTATTCTTTCTTCTGGAACTCCAGCTTCGTTAAGAATATGGTTTAAATTATTTTGCAAAAAATTTAAATACTGAGCACCATATAGCCTTGCTGGCATTTCATGCAGCACTAACTGCTGACCAATTATACCAGCTCACATGTTAATACCAAACGATGCTGGAATCGATCATTTCTTATGATAAGGGGGTTCACTATGGAGTAAAAATGTAGATTGTGGATATTGAATACTCCCGTTCTTCTAAAAGTTAACTCATCCGTCCGTAAAACCTTGTTGAGGAACTGCGGATCCTCTCTGTGGTATCTTAACATCTCTCTGCAAAACCGCAGTATAGGTTCATAGTCACCGGGCAGCAAAGCTTGCACCCTTTGCACGTGGTAGGCGTGATATTTGTTTCTGTTAATGACACGTTGCACCGTCGATCTTGGAATCCCGAGATTACTGGATATTTGGTGTTGACTTATACTAGGATCCAATCTTAATTCTCCTAGCACTTCATCTTCATTTTCAAATTGCACCACTGGTTTGCCTGCTCTCGGAGCATGCTGACCGGGTAAGACTCCCTCCATGTACGAATTATGTACGCGCATAAAGACCCTTTAGTCCGGAAAACGATCACGGTTAGGGTAGCGTTGACGATATTCCCTGGCAGCAGCCCGAGCATTACAGTCGCAAAAGCCATACAGATAATGCATTTCTGCATACTCCCGTTGGGTGTATTCTCTCCTCGCAGCAGCCATCTGTCCACATTTGTAGTCAATCCGTCCGATTCGAATAGTAACACAGCACTGGTCACAGGTAGGCAATCTATCACAAGTCCGAAAAACAAAGCGTAGGTCAAAGGAAAGAAACTAATCACGAGTCGTCGTACAACCGAGAAAAAGAACACGTGCGTACTCACAGGCAGGAAGCGAGTCACTATCACTAAAGAACACTAAAAATTCTAAAGAAACATGCTCACGCGCATCCCCCGGCCCCCGCCCCTGCCGGCTCGACCTTTTGTTTCCTAGAAAAGATATCGCTACCTGAACTGACGGGTCAACCGGCCTTTTATTGACAAAGGTTGTGTAAAAGAGAGGCATAGAGTCTTTGTCATTAATTGTATTAGTTCCAGTTTATTTTTAAATAAGCTTAACCGAGTTTTATGGTTGGGTTAACTTTGGCCTTGCTACGAATAATCATCCTTGAAAGATATCAAAGCCACGCATAGCCATGTGTAATACCTTTTCAGAATCCCTATTAAATGCGCCAAAACTTGTAATACAGGGTCACTTTTTGGTAGAGTATTTTTTTTCACAGTGGGGTCCGAAGTAAATAAAAAGTTATGATTTGAGAAAAAAATCGTAAAACTTAATATTATCTTCAACACACCCAATAAACAACCATAAATAGCATGTCTAACGCAAGGACTTATCAGTACCAATGTAGTCAAAATTATAAAAAAGATACAGCATGTAGATTTTTTTGGAATTTTATTAAGAATTAGTTAAAAAAAGTCAATTTTCTCATAAAAACACAAATTAAATTATAACTCTGCAGGGGTTGACCTTAATGACCTCCCGTAGAACAACTTTTTGCAGCTGATGACCCCATCTAACCCCTAGTTGCGTTTAATCCACGACTTTTGGGCCAACCTGTAGATGCAATTCACTTAGTAGTTATAATTTCTATATATATATATATATAAAAATCAATTGTTGTCCGTTTGTCTCTCTAAAACTCAAAAACATCCTTCAAGCAGCGCCGTGTACCTACTCCGATCAATTTCTTGTACCGCTTCATGAATGCGACGACGATGCTGTCCCATTGTCGTTATTGATTTTTTGTAAACTTTTTCTATAAGGCAATCCCAATAAAAAAAATCAAAGGGTAGGTAGGTGAACGCCGAGGCTACTAAATAGGCCCAAACGGATAATGCGCCTGGTGGGTATATTTCGTCCAAATAGTGATATATTTAGATTCAGAGTCTGTATCACTTAGCCCGTTACGCGCTTTTGTTAAGTCCGTTACCACTGTAGAGTTAGGTGTTTTGAGAAAACAGGTTGAATCCTTTAATATTGGTTGGTTGTAGTATACATTAAAAAAAAAAGAATATTAACAATGCTGTAAACATTACTAATATTCCCCGTAACCACTCGTGGTAAGTTTAAATTGCTTGTGTTACGAGTGGTTCACGCCAGTAGTCGAATGGCGGATTCGAACCCACGAACTTTTTGAGTTCGCGGTCCGCGCTCTGCCATTAGGCTACTGTCGTTTATTATTATACACCGAGGTGTCATGCAATGTACTAGTAAATTGCTGATAATACGAAACATAAGTGTTCAAAGTGAGGAAGATTTATAACAAGGTGAACGTCTTTGAAACTCAGTTAATTTACCTTCTTACCACTTTCTGTTTTACTTTTTATTTGCTACCACATTATTAATAAAAGAGTAGCTACTATTTTTATCTATTTATTTTATCGACTCAGTGAGCAAGTGATATAAGACCAATAGTCAGCATATTATGATCTTGCATTAGTAGGCAGTGACTAGTACTGGGAGGTCTACTTACACTGGAAATTATTTAACGTCATTGACAATAAACACGAAATAATCGAAAACTACGAAGCTGTAGCGGGGCCGCTACATACACTATAAATAATACACACCTATAAATAATAATAACTTAAATTTCGGTATCCTAAGGAACAATAAAGAATGACAAGTCGACATTCCTATTGTTATTTAAGCACCCGTATGATATGCAGTACCTTTTGGCATTTTGAGTGGCCATATTTTAATAAAAACTCAAAAATAAATATCAGTGTCTAAATACTTATAAGAGAAAAATGCCTTTTTGTCAACGTTAGGCCCGGTTTAGACAAGTGCGTATTTTATTCCCACTTATCACTTGGCACTGCTTGTTCACACGAACTAAGCACTTGTCATTTGGCAGTTGCACTTGCCACTCGCACTTGTCACTTCGCAAAATGTAAACCGGGCCTTAGGCGCGCGTCAGCTCAACAGCGCGTGTGACATACTCACTAAATTAGGGGATCGCGCAGTGTTGGTATATTTTCATGCCTAGCGCGGAGTGAGACAGGCCTGGTATTAAACATTATGTAAGAAATTATATGTCTCGTACGTGACTGTTACACAGGTGGCACGGAGTTTTTGATTTGCCCATAACTTGAACATGGTTTTTAAAAAAGCCTGACTGCGCACGCGAAGTAATATTATTATGCCAATTTCTCACGCAAACCTGTTACGAGTATTTTATTTTGATATTAGCTAAAATTCCGGCACTTTGCCCTTGTGCGGGCTTATGGACATCTCGTGTGTTTGAAATTTTGTTAATTTATAGATATGTTGGCTTGTTTGCTATTTTTCTCATTACCCTCGCCCTCGATAGCTTTTAAAAGTAATAATTGACGAATAGATTATGCATCTTTTACTGCACTTACTAAAATTCAAATATAAAAAACGGAATAGTTTTCCGTAAAATATCTCAGTAAGTAAATTTAGTTTTTGTCTTCCTTTAAATACACTGAATATAAATAACGCGAATAGGCTAAAGGATGATTGTGTTCCTGCAACGCGGCGTGTTTGCAAAAGAGATGTTTCTCAATAAAACACGATGGAAAACGGACTTCGCTATTGCTCTTTTTCGCTTTTCAATTTTTTTTTTTAATAGGAAAAGGGTGACAAGCGAGCACACAGTCCACCTGATGGTAAGTGGTTGCTGTGGCCCATAGACATCTACATCTATCCTCGTTTGCGAATCAAATTGAAGATCCGTTGTCAGCCTTGAGGACTAAGATGGAATGCCTCTTTTCCATTAAAAAGGTTCTCCGGTTCTCTACACTCACCATACGAAACACAGCAGCATTAAGCTGCTATTTGACGCTGGTATTCTGTGAGAGCGTGGTCCTTCCCCGGTCGAGCCGACCCATTCGTGTTACAACTATACAATTAATATAGCTGCAGCATGGCTCTACCACGTAAAATCAGCATCATTTTTAATTTTTTACGTTTATAATCATGTTAACGGTTGCTATTCCAACTGATGTGCATACTTCAATAGTTGTGGGTCTAAAGAATGAGTTAAATTAAAATTAATTCGATCCGTGTTGATCGAATTAACTTCCAGTGGCAACCATCGTAATACATAATACAACATGTACAGAGTCTGTTTGTTCTGGTTTGCCGGTATATTATGTTAGTTTTGTCTATTCTATTGTTAACGTTAGTTAATTGAAATAGTGGCATTGTTATCTTTCAATCTCTCCTTTTAAAACAGTATTATGAAAATATTGCATATAGAAATGGAAATAGAATTTTCAAATAAACCTATTTTTACGATTTTTATTTAAATTTCCGAAACGAATTAAAAACAGGTGAAATTATAGTAATAATTAATGTGTAGTGTTTTTCGGGTTTTTTTCACTTTTACAAGTTGTTTTAAGAGAATCAAAATTGTTTTATCACCCACACCGAAGCCTGCCGCTAAATCTGAGGTGGTTTGCGCTTCCACGACCACTTATAATTTTTTATTGTCTACTAGGTACTAGGGTCTCCAGCCTTTCACTCAGTGGCGTAGCTACCTTGGGGCTAGGCGGGGCAGTGCCCCGGGGCCCCCAAGCTCAAAGGGCCCCTCAGCCTTCATGACGACGACGTTAGAATAAATTATACATTTTATCTTAATTGAATTAAAAAATTCTTGCTCCTACAACTACGAATGTCATCACAAAAATTTCTCACACTTAAACATCATTGTTGAAATAAAATCACGTACTTTGTTTTATTGTCTAAGTACCAATATTATTAACTGTAATCTACTTTGTCATTGTTTATTTTTACCAGCTTCCGCCCGCGACTTCATTCATGAACAGCGACAGTTTCGGGACTAAAAGAAGAAGTAAGAAAAAGTGTAAAAGTAATAGTGAAAAGTAGTGTACCTATTAGTAAAAGTGCATCAGTATCGCATTCCGACGGGGGAATTTTATTGAGGAGATTTCTGTTTTATTTATCAAGATCCTTCAGTGTTCAAACTAACAGTAGGGTAAAGAAGAAATGTACAGTCCACATAGGCACGTACGACAGACGTTTAGACCGGGACCAATAGGGGGTTCGTCATCTTAGTCGCCCACCCTTTTTAAGAAAGCATTCTTTTTTATTTTGGTTTTTGGTATATTGTTAATGTCAAAGGTTTATCATTACTGCCAGTTATTACAGTATGTATTTATATACAATGTTTACAGCTGACTTTCATTACACAATACGAACAGATTTTGTCTGAAATTGACACCCGAATGGGCTACATATAGTTCATGAGAAAAACACGCAAATTCAGGTCTAAGCCCGCAACGCAACGTTCAATGTTTGACCTTGTGATTTGTTGATCGCCATTGAAAATTATGATGGATATATCAGACTAAACTTTGTCTACCAATACTTGAAGGAAATGTTCTAAAACGCTTTTCGCGTATTCTAGAAAAAAAGGATTTTCGATGTCTAATTCTTCCATTGTCTTGTAGCTTTGAGCAAAAACCCTACAAAATGCTGGCTTTCATGACTGTGCATAAACT